AACCCCAAACCCCAACCTCCCAAACCCAATAAACCTCTGGCTTCAACCCTGTGGATCCTTGGGACCCACCCGGGCCCAGGGTATGGAACCCACGAACATGGGTACGAAAATGTCCACTTCTTTCTGGGAGTTAGGGTTTCAGGGTTAGGTGGTTTAGGCGCTTGGTTCAGGCTCTAGGCATCAACAGCTGGTCGTTTAGAGTCTCGGTAGGGTTGAGAGGGACTGGTGGGGGCCCTCGTTCGACCTTCCGTTGTAGGATTGCCTATGCAAGCAACGCAGCTGTCCCGAAATTGAAGCCCGGAAATCAGAACGAGCACGCTGCAACAGGCATGCAAGCAAACAGGTAAACAGACCGAGCAGGGACCTGGAAGCACCGAGCCGACAGCCTTTAGGAAGTTTAGGGTTTAGGGTAATGGCGCCCCCTGGGTTTCGGGGTTTGGGCTGGTAGGGTGCCCTGAGGTCTCCAGTGGCGTCGACTGAAACGAGCACAGCGCCTGCTGAAGTGGTAGTTTGAAGGTGGGACCCAGGCTGGAGGCAGAAACCCTAAGCTCTAAGCCCCGAGTTACTGCAAACTGAAATCTAAGTCGGAAAGAACAGGTCTCAGAGCTTTGAGTTCCAGGTCATCATAGTCTTCTGAGCCTCAAGCCTGCTGCGTCTGAACCCAACCCTTAAACCTGAAATGCTGAAGAGCCGATTCATCTAAAGCTTCGAACCCACGGCTTGCTGACTCAACCTTGAATCCTGAACAGGTGGCCAGAGGTTGCTAAGGACCATGGGTTTAGGCGACTGGAAAAAGGGTTTGAAGCAGTCGTATTGAAGTGGCTTTGAAACACAGCTTGAGGGGCTGAGGGCTGCGGGTCCTTATAGAGAGAGAGAGAGAGATGATGACCGGAGCCTGCTTGCAGCTCCCAAAGCCCGTGGATCCATGTTGGAGGTGGGTTGAGAGGGGTGCGAGATTTCAGACTGCCCAAGCCGGGAAGCCACTTCGGATGGCGAAACGCCTGAAACTTGTGCAGCCTGTGATGGACGGTGTCCAGAGCAGGGCATGTTTACAGAAAGCCTTGCCGGGCCCAAAGCAAACAGAGGCTTGCGGCCCGGTCCGTGTCCGAAGACCGGCGTCTGGGTTAAACGTATGGTTTTAGGGCCCCGAGCCCCCTGAACCCTCAAGCTCGTCGGGACGTAGGTGGGCAACAGTCCTATGCTGTGGGGGTCTACCGGAAGAGCCACGATCACCAAGCACCTGTAGCCCTAACCCGGAGTCCGGGATCTGCGGATCCTGGCGTGATCCCGTCGCGAGCGCTTGGCTCGCCATGACAAAGCTTACCTGGAGCTTGCGAGGGATTCAGGTCTAAGTGGTTTAAGTCTTCTGCGTTTGGGCCTGGGCTTTCGGCGTGAGGATTCTTTGGGCTCCCGCTTTCTTTGTGTTTTTTTTTGATCGCCTTCTGGAGCTCCGAGTCACTCCTTCGCAAGCCCATGTCCTCGGCAGTGGCTTCGCAGGTTGTTTGTAGGTTCTGTGATCGCTTGCAGAGACGTATCATACGTGAAGCTCTTAGCTATCAAGCTTGACCAAATCTGGCTGGAATTCGAGTGGCAACCGTTTGTTGAACAGTTACTGCTGCGACTGATGCATGTAATCGAACCGACATTGCCACATCGAGCACATGCATCCCTCTTCGTCTTCATGTTGGTTTCGTGTGACTTGTGGTTGTCATGATACAGGCCCTACATGTGGTCATAAGCTTGATGCAAGAGTCGTTGATTCCAAGAGTGCCGCTGCAAGTGCACGCCCGTTCCAGTGGTGCTTCGAGCACCTTCTGCAAGCTGCAGGCACTCGAGTTTTGATGACATGCCTGACAAGTGGAAGCTTCTCTTATCTATGGCATGAGCTTTGCAGGTCGCGGCCTTTCAACTCGGTGGGCGCAAAGCTGCAGCCGCCCCAGCCGAGTCGAGTCTCGTGGGGCTTTCGATCTGTTTCCATGCGATCAGTGCCGGAGGCAGGCCTTTTCAGGAAGAGAGGGTGCAGTAGCAGCAGTAGCATTCCAATCCCGGCCCACATTTCCACAATGCCTCGCACCGTTGCCATCATCGGAACTGGCTCCGCCGGCATGGTCACGGCTCTCTCGATGAAGCGCGAGTTCGGTGACGATGTCGACGTCCATGTCTACGACCAGTTCAAGAGCTTCAAAATGTCGCAAGGGGTCGAGCTCGCACTTAGTCCTCCTTTCCAGATTGTGATGAAGGCTCTTGGCCACGATGTGGAGGCGGTGATGAAGGAGTGCACCTGCCAAACCCACACAATCGTGGTTCGTGACTCTGCGGGAGATCGCATCCCCTTCGTTGAAGAGATGATGAACAGTGTCGACGAGGGGGGGGTCGGGAAGACCCCTGAGGGCGATGTCGTCAAATTCCCTACGTTGCAGATCAGCCGCGGCGTGTACATGTCCATTCTTCAGGATGAGTTCTTCAAGGCCATGGGAGGGAAGGATGCTGCCTCTAAGCACCTGCACTGGGATCACAAGCTGGAAGCAGTTCTGCCAGAGGGCGAGGGCGGCAAGAAAACACTCCGCTTCGCCAACGGCGAGCAAGTGACGGGTGTTGACTTGGTCGTCGGCGCAGACGGGGTGCATTCTGCAGTCCGCAGGGCTTGCTTTGATGACGTGCCGGCGCGCCATGTTGGGGCCAACATCATATACGGTGTCATTCCTGGCACCCCTGATATCCACCACAAAGACGCCTTCAACATCGTGGCGGCAGCCACCTTTTCCATGGTGAGTTCCGAGATCATCGACAGTGAGGGCAAGAGGATGACATGGTGGGCCCTTGTCCACACGGACCGCGAGAAGCACGACTCCCCGACAAGCTCCCCAAAGGCCTACCGCACTTTCTGGGAGTCCAAGGCAGACGTGCAAAAGCTTGCCCATGACCTGGTGGCTGAGGAGGAGGGCGACACGTTGCCGAAGAAGTTCGTTGCTTTGACCCCGGAGGAGGGCTTTCGCTATGCCGGCTTCTTCCTGGATCGTGACCCAACCACCTTGAAGCAGTGGGGCAACGGTGAGATGGGCGCCGTGTGCATCGGCGACGCCGCGCATGCAATCCAGCCTTGGGCCGGTATGGGTGCCTCTTTGGCGGCCGAGGATGCCTTCCTCCTGGCGAAGATGATCGCTAAGCATGGCTGGAACAAGCTCCAAGACGCCTTCGATGAGCTCCAGGCTCTGCAGCTCCCCCGCGTCCAGTTCTACAGGCAAATCACCTTGAATAACGCGCCGCAGGGCATCATCTCTGAGGACCTGATGGTCCCCGTCGAGACGGTGGTCGAGCAGTTCGGCGACCAGCGCAGTCTTGAAAAGTGCCCTGCATGGAATCAGTTTTGTGCGCACTCGCGCGTGAAGTCGGCCTAGAGCCTTCGAGTCTTAGAGATCTTAGAGGGCGTGCTAGATGCCGCCACGTGGGTACATCCCTACAATTCCGACAATGTTATGACCTTTGCTTTTCAAGGTCGGGGACGCGAATGCGTCTTGGCCCTGTTTTGCACGACGTTTGCGGTGGAAGCAGGACTTGCCTGCCCCCCTGAAACAGTGCGTGAAAAACATGCCAGACCTGTGCGGCAAGAGAATCGTTTGTTTCGGATCATCCTGTGCTGGGCTTCCGTAAGCTCATTCCTCCCCAAGGACCTGGTGGCAGTGCGGAAGGGCAAGTCTGGAGAGGACCAGCAGTTGAGCTGTTTTGCTTTGGCCTTTTTGTTCGCTTTCTTTGTGCGGCGGCGCCCGGCAGGTATTCACCTGCTATACCTCCAGGCCGGAGGCCGCAGCCGAAGGCGATGTCCAACAAAGGTGGCAGAAACAGCGCCATTGCCGGGTTATGGGGTCTATAGGGTTTAGGGTTTAGAGTCAGGAATTTCACAGCGCAGCTTCCTGTAATGCTGGTCAAGTCGTAAAGCCCTGAAGTCTCAATGTCCAGCCGCATTTCTGGGAAGGTCCCAAACCCTGCACTCTGAGACCTGAACAAGAACATGACAAGTGGCCTGACGCCCAAGAACCCCCAGGCCCAAAACGTTTCCAACGCCCCAAGCCCTGGATGAAACCGGTGTCAGGCTCTCACCGTTTTTTCTCTTTGCTGGGCTTCGGGTTTTCATGTTCTGCTTGGACAAATCCCAGCGATTTGAAGTCGGCGTCAATAACTTGCAACCAGGGCTCCGGGTTAATCATACATAAAGTTAGGGACAAAAAGGGAATACTGTTTCCCACTATTCAGAACGCAGACCTTTACATCAGGGCTGCGGGGCCTTGGGGTTGGTGGGTTTGGATTTTTGGTTTTGCAAGGCCGGTTTGAGTCAGAGCTCAGGGTTCTGGGCTTGAGGCTTTAGAATTTTGGGGCTTAGGGTCGAAGTCTTCATAAACCTTAAAGCTGACTGTGGGTAAAGGGGGATGTGGGGTGCAGGTTGCGAGGCTTGGGTGTCCCGACTGTACGGAAGCTTTCGAATGGGTTGGGTTTGGCCATAGGGTTGCAGGGTGTGGTTCCCCGGACACTAGTTTTGATTGGATGTAGAGATGAGGGTTTAATGCCCTAAACCCGAAACCAAATCCACCCAAACTTGTAGCCCTCAGCCTTGCACCCGAAACCCCAAAACCCCTAAATCTTTAACTCGAAGCCCTGATCTAAACCGCAAAGCACTTTGCGACATCTTCGGGAAGAGCCGGACCCGGGTCGCTGCCACAAATCGCCGATCTGTTCTGGGCTCGTCTCTTGCAGGGAGTGAGGCTTCCTACATGCATGTGTGTGTGTGTATGTGTGTTTGTATATACATATATGTATGTGTATATGCATGGCCAAAGTAGTTCTAGGAATTTGCAAGCGTCCAAGCGATGTCGCAGCTTGCTCCAGACGTTCACCATCAGCCCAGCCCGAACCTCACCGCCAAAGCCATTCCGAAAGCTGCACCGAACCCTGAATTCACATCCGTCACAGATCTTGGTCCGAAGCCGCTAGCCCCAGCTACAAACCCTAAACCCTAAACCCGTAAGTCCGAGCCTTTTTGTGCCGCGAAGCCTCTGTCCCCCCGCTGCTTCGCCTTTGGCGGGTCCCCAGCTCAGGATTTCGGTTAAGTGTCTGGGATTTACGGTTTATGGCTCCGAGGCTACTACTACAGCTGCTGCTACTACTGCTGCTACTACAACTTCTGCTACTACTACTGCTACTACTAGTGCTGCTGCTGCTCCTGCTACTACTATTACTACTACTACTGCTGCTGCTGCTACTACTGCTTCTTCTACTGCTACTCCTATCACTACTGCTGCTGCTGCTGCTGCTGCTGCTGCTGCTGCTGCTGCTTACTACTACTACTACTACTGCTACTACTACGACTAGTACTACGACTGCTACTACGACGACGACGACGACTTCTGACGACGACGACGACTACTACTGCTGCTGCTGCTGCTACTACTACTACTACTACTACCACCAGCACGTCTCACTGCCACTACAACTAGCACTGAGCACTGCCAGTGCCAGTACGCCAAGTAGCCGTCGCTCCTGTTGCTCTTCCTCCATCCACTTGTTATGGTGAGGAGGTTGAAAATGGTAGCCATAGAATCTTATTGCGGTGGTGGACGGGCGGTAGCTAGGTTGCGAGTCAGGTAGGTGGGATGTAGGTAACGGTACATAAACAGATAGAACGACCATTGCCGTAGTGTTTTGATGCTTGCTCGGTTAACATCGCATAATTGTGAGCATACAGAACAGGAGGATGACGAGACATAGCAGCAATAGAGAGGTCATTATTCACAGACGTGATAGTGCTCATCAGAACAGTGCTAGCAGCTGGATCTGGGAAATCGCATATGGAACAAACGTAAAGTCTTGCAGGTGCAGGCCCTTCTTCAACAAGGGATCTTCTGGAGTTGGGTTGGCGACAGGCCGGAACCCCCACCTTTCGGCATGCGATTGGGGTGGGCCGTCTCTCACGCCTCGGCAGCGCTGCCTGCCCAAACTGGTACCAGTACAAGCACAACAGTGTTACTGTAACAGGAAAACAGGCAAACATAAGTAAATAGATCAAGGTCGGACGGGCGGCATCAGTTGACGAAGAAACACTGTGACCCGAGACAGAGCCTCCAAAAAGCCGAATCCCACATTCTCCGCGAACCTTCTCAAACGCGCATCCCCCCAAAACCGTCGATCAAAAATTGGCAGGCTGGGCCGTAACTTCTCGGAAGATGCCACGGCCGTGCAGAGGTCTTTTCTGGAGTTGGAGGCCCCTGAAGTCTTTCTGTGCCTTCGGGCTTGCACCTCCTGTATTCCCAAGCGCCGACGAGCATTGGTAACACTAAGTAGTGGAGGCTTTATGGACGGCGGAGGTTCAGGGCTTGGCGTTTAATGCTCAACGCGGCTGCTGCGTCATATGTCATACCACTGGATGCAGCTGGCCGGTTTCTAGTTTGGCGATTGTGGTTCATGTTTCATGTTTTGGGATTGGAAATGACGAAACAATGGCACCGAGAACCTGCAGTGCATTGAGTGGAGCACCAGGATGCTGTGGCAGTGAGTAGTTCCAGCGCTGGCCTTGGGACACAGACGGGCGACCTCTGGAATGTGGTGGTTTACTGCACATCACACACCACCCCTCCGACATAGACACTCGGTTTTCAGGTGCACATGCAATGTCGGCCAAACCGTTCATTGCTCTGGACAGGGGCCATGGGACAAGAACGCATAAGAACGCAGAGGGGCTCGTGCTGTGGTTTACGACTACCGCTGAAACTACCACTGCCACTTCGACTTCGGCCCAAGCTAGAAGTTCTACTTTGCCACACTGGCCGTTACAGCTGCTGCTGCTAGCCATTCTCCACAGTCTTGGCGGAGGTGTGGTTGACTGGAGGTCTACAGCTGGATGCTGGGGTGCACAGCGAGGTCGGGGGCGCGTGGGCCTGAGAGCGTTGGTGTGGATTCAGGGTTGCAACCCATCTTCGCATGTCGTGTGATTTCGGATCTAATATGCACTCCGGAGTCTTTATAACCCTGACGACAAGACTTCAGACGTTTCGGAGCGCTTTCCGTTGTCGGTAATGTTGTCGGCGGCACATCCCTAGTGCAAGGGGAATCAGGGCATCGACTTGAACACAACAGCCACCGAGCAGAGGCTGTCTGGGATTCGGCTTGCCTGCAAGTGCTCTGCTACTGTGGCGGCTTGCAGTGCAGGCCGCAGCTCTATTTGTGTTGTTGATATGTCTTTTGGCTGTAGCGGATCTGAGAGTGTTCGCGATTTGCAGATCTTGATCAAATCTTTAGAGCCTTCGGCTTTTGGGAGGTTTCCCGGAGCCGGCTAGACTTCTGCAAGCTCGAAAGAAGAGCGGCATGAACACCACTCTTGGGGATAGTCGACCCAGGGGCAGCGTCTCCAACCTCGGATCTCGGATCGTCAACTTATGTTAGACCGCGCTATGCCGCTACATCTCTCCACCCAAAAATCAGGCAGGGGATATATCTTCTGTCGCGGAGCTGCAGCCATGTCTCTAACTTCGCTCAATTGGACAGGCTAATGATTCAACAGTTTTTACTGCCCAGACCCAAAAATGCTGCCGCCAGGTCGGCTTGGGGCTCTCTGCTGGGAGCTCTGGCACGGCACCCCGGGCTTCGGTTCCAAGGTTCTCACTGTTACTTCTCTCTCTCTCTCTCTC